GAATCTTTCTTGAGATTGCTTTGTACTTGTTCTTGAAACTGAAATCCGGAAATGGATAATGATTATTGAAATCCTCATTATCTTGATACTTGTCTAAAATTGATTCTTACACTGTTCTTGGAATCTAGTTTGAATTGTCCTTGGAAACCATTCTTGTCTTGACCCTGCCCTTGTTCAAATTCTGTATACTGCTCTTGTGCAAACCTTGCATATTCTACTTGTTCTTATTTCAGTATACCTGTTGATCTTTTTGATCTTCTTGATCTTCTTGATTCTTGGTTTTTGTTCATATGGACACCTCTTTAGGAGGGGTGACGATTATCAGGAGATACCTATATGAGGTATTCTAAATTCTTGTCTCTTGCAAGTGTCAATCTCTGTATTCTGGATGTCTTAGCTTTGACTTGACTCTAGGATGACCTGATTGAAAATCTGTTTAGCCTCGCCTCCATGAGCTACGAGGTAAAGGGGTAGTCCTTGAAATACTTGATGCCCTAGAGTTTTGTTCCAAGTGAAATGGTTCTTTGATCTGGCTGCTTGGATTTTTGTTTGCCCTTTTAATTAGGAGACATGAATCTTCTAGGCATCTTGATTCCAGCCATTGCTTTGTTCTGTTAATTAATTCTAGTACTTGAGGTGCTAGATCTTGACATCCTAGTTATATCTGCTCTTGAATTCGTGTTCTAGTTGTCATTATTGAAATCTTTTTGTGGGTCTAATTCTTAAATTCTATTGCTTGTTTCATGATTAGCTCGTCTCTCAATTTTGATTGCTTGGTTAAAGTTGATCTTGATTCTTGGTAAATGCCATTTTGTTGTTAAATTTTTGAGGCATTCTACCTTGCACCCTTGTGTTCCGATATTCTTCCAAGCATTCATATTTTCTATTGATTTTATTTTGTTGCAATTCTTGAGAGTCTTCCATGTCTTTTGATGGTCCTAGCTTTTAACTCTTGTTAATTGCTAAAATCTGTCTTTTCAGTTGCTTTGTTAAACATGACCTTGTTTATTGGTTAACTTTGTTTTGTGGCAGAATTTATAAGGCATCCATGCACTTGTTCATTATTCATGATCTATATATCCATTGGATGCTTATCCGTCTTTGATAGAGTTCAAAATTTTGTTGTGCTCGTCATTAAATCCATGCCATTCGTTGCCAACTCGTCTTGTGTTGGGTTCAAAGCGTAACCCCACAATTGTTCTTCTGTGGCTTTGGCAGGATTTATTTTTATTCCTTGTGCTTCCCATGTCACCCCAGCCTCTAGTAGCTCGTTTCATGATAAGTCCTGTTAAGTAATTAGTGTTCTGCTTTTAAGATTAGTCGTGATTTGATATCAGAGTGGCGCAGCGGGAGCGTAATAGGCCGTGTTCTGTTCCTAGAAAGTGATGAGGCAATTGTTTTGCCTTGGATTGGGTGAAGCCATTCACCAGTCTAGATGGTCCTCAATTTGAGTTTTGGGGACAAAACTCCTTTTTAGGAGGGGTGGATGTAATACCCCAAATTTTCGGGAATTTTAGCATTAAATTAAGGATTAAATTGTGAGAAAATATTGTTTTGGGCTTAATAGCCAAAGTTTGAAAGTTGAGGGGCTTAAAGAGGGAAAATAATTGGATAAGGATCAGCTTATTTCTTTTCTCCTTTTTCCTCTTTTCTCCAGCCCGATTCTGCTCTTCTTCTTCTTCTTCCCGCTGCAGCCAAAAAAAGAAAAGAAACCCAGCCATGCCTTGAGGAAACCGATAGAAAGCTTGGTTTTTGGCCTTCTTTTCTTGCTCTAGAACACATGTAGAACCCAGAAATTCTTCCTTCCCCTGCTGGAAAACCGGATCTGCTATGCTCTGCTCCTCACCGCCGGCTGCTCCTGCTTGTGGGGGGCGAATTGCTTGGGTTTTGGGTAAGAAACAGCCATGAATCTCCCTTCTCTAGCTTTGATTGCCTTGGGTTTATGTTAATTGCTCTTATTTCCTTGAATTTTGGGTTAAAGCCGTGAGCTTTCTTCTTCCATGCCGCCGGCCTTCTTCCCCAATCTGCTAGCTCCGGTTCCTTGCTTGTAAATTCTGGTATGTGGCAGCTTCTTTAAGTGCAGATTTTAGCCATTTAATTGCTGCCCTTTGTGTCCGAAATTCTGGATTAATTAGGGGAGAATTTGATAGCTTTAGGACCATGATTTAGCTTAATTGAAGTGAGATTTATGTGATTGAGTGTTAATTGATTGCTGTGTGATTTTTGGAGAAAATCCCGTGAGATTAGTTAGTGTTTTGGCCAATTTGTGGAAGTGGAGTTACTGTTCACATCGGGGTCACTGTTCACGGGCACTGTTCACCGGTTACTGTTCACACCCCGAGGGCCAACATTAACGGGAATTTAAATGATTAGTTTGTGATATAAGAACGGATTTGGAGATATTTGATTATGTGGAGATTAATGGAAATAGCATTGTGATTAGGAATGATCCTAATGATGATTTCAGCTTGAATTTGTGATAGTGGTATTAATTCTTGAAATATCTTGATTAGGTTCCCGATCGTTCTGTCAGTTAGTACGTGAATTGAGTGCTCGGTTTTATGCGAGTGAGGTAAGTAAATTTATGGTAATGCCCGTACT